TGACTATAAGGGGTGTCCGGGAAAAGAGGAGCCAAGAGCCAGCTGAAGTCAACCACAAAATTCCCATCGTTCGGGAAAAGCCGGCAGGCAGCGAGCCAGCTGGGATGCAAACGCTTCGTCTTGGTTTTAAACAGAAGATTTTTCGCTGGCAGGGGGAAAAAGGGGAGGGGGGGGGGCGCGTTCAGCCAAGCCCGGCTTTGCTGAAACCAGCCCCTGGACTCCTGGAGCACCACAAAAGCCTGGATTCTGTCCCCAAAACTCGCTGCTCCTCTCGCTTTTAGCATCACCCTTGGTCCAGCTCTTGCTCAGCAGCACCGAGTTCTCGGACACGCCGAGCCCCAAAAGCCCGTTAACACAACGGGGTAAGCGTCTTACCTCTCCTCTGCATCCCGACATTTCCCCCCTCTTTTAATAATTTCTCTTAATTTGGGAGAATGACAACCTGGGGTGCTCGAGCCCTCGTCCCAGTTGGGAACCTGTTCTGGGGGACGCCCGTAAAGATATAGTATTTTTTCCCTGCTGGAAAACTTCCTGAAATCGCCCGTTTCCCTGCGTGCCGGGTCTGACCCGGTGCTGAGAAGAGAAGCAGAAAGAGCAGCTCACCGGCGTGACTTTACACTCACGTGGGCTAAGTCTGGCTGCGGGAACAGCATCCACGCGTCGGGAAAATGAGTAATAAATTGGGGAAAAAAAAAACAACAAACCCACCCCAAAGCAAACAGCAAAAGGCACCGACTCTTGCCTTATTTCCCAAAATAATAATAATAAAAAAAAATATAAGTAAATCTCCCAGGTTGGGGATGGAAGCGGCACTTACCCCGGTGATGACGGCGCAGGGGCAGGAGGTGATGAGCAGGAGGAAGCAGAGGGTTTGCAGGAGTCGGCCCATGGCGCCGGGGCAGGAGCCGTCTACCCCTGCGCTGCCGAGGGCTGCAGCAGCCCCGCGCCTCCCGCCCTATATAACCCCTTCCAGCTCCGCCACCGTGGGCTTTTCTTCCCTCCCCCTCCCCGATGATCTCAGAATAAGCAGATGAGACCTGAATTTCTAATGGTATAAAAGAAATATTAATAAACCACCGAGGAAGGGAAAAAAAAAACACCCCACCAAACCCTCCACCTCTCCCACCCGCACCCACGTCCCAGGGTTATTTTTCAGCTGAGCCAACACAGCTGGATTTTCCAAGTACACCTCTCTGTCCGTATTTATGCCCGACGGGCGTACTTAAGAATTGAATTAAGAATTTGTGATTATTTAGCTAAAAGAGAACGCAAGACTAAAGTTAGCCTGCTACTTCTCGGCTCGTAAGAGCACGCTGTCTCGTAATGTGGCTCTGCGATAAATATCCTGTAAAAAAAGAGACTCGGCTGCATTTATTTGTGGGAATAAAAGAAGGCAGAGAGGGAATAATGTCTTTTTCAGTAATGAGGGTGTGTTTGAATCGGAATATAATGTGTAAATATGTTGATTTATGGTTTGAAGCATATCCCCCATACCTCAAACTGTGTTTGGTGCATCTCCTGGGAGCACAAGGGAATAAGACCTTTGCTAAAGTAGCTAAAAAGGCAGAAAAAGCTGGAATTATCGGCTTCTTTTTTAATTTGTACATCCTGGGAGGATGCAAGGGACAACATCCCAACGTGCTCAGGGATGGGGGGGGGGGGGCCCCAACGAAAAACACCCCCGCCCCCACAGTCTCGCATCCGTCAGGTGAGAGAGGAGCAAGAAACCTCTGCAGCCTCTGTGACGCCACGTCCCCACGGAGCTGGGGCAGTTCGGCACCCGCCCCCTCGTCCCATGCAGCCCCTTCGGGAGTCCGGCAATAAAAAGAATAAAAATAATTAAAAATTTAAATACCCTTCCATGGCCAACGGGTGGTCCTGGGCTCCCACGGTCCAGCCCGGATTCGGCCGGGACTCCCCGGACCAAGCTCCCAGTGCCCGCAGCCGTGCTGGCCGGGGCCGTGCAAGCAGAGGCCGTGGCTAAGACCCTTTGCACAACAAAGGCAGGAAATAAAACTCCATTTTTCCCCCCAAAATAAAGCTGGGTTTGCGATTCTGACCCAGGGAGATGGATTTTTTCCAGCCCTGCATTGCTAGGTACCATCCCCGTAGTACCAGGGCTCCTCACCAGCATTATGAATTTAGTCCCTTCCAGCTTTTCCCACTGAGGAATAAACATCCCCGAGCCCGATTTTGGGGCTGCTCCCTGCCAGACCCGGTCCACGGGGGCAAATTAGGGACCGGGAGCAGCCGGGCGGCTCAGCCCCAGGGGAGAAACGTGGCCCGAGGTGATGGGCTGGGATTTGAAATACGGGTTTGATTGGAGCCACGCGGTTTAATCGGGCTTTTCTGTGGAATTTCTTTTGTAGAGTGTCAGTCGGGTGCTAAATCGTCTATTTAATTAGTTAAAAATAGCCCTGGCGTTTCCCTGCCCGGAGACCAGCACTTCTTTTGATGTGGCAGCTGTTCCGCTGCTTCGCTAAAGTCTCCTCCACCTGGGCTGGAATTAATTAATCCCAGCTCTCCCAAAAATCCTCCCTTCCAGAACTCCTGCATCCGGGAACGGCTCAGGAGCGGTTGGTTCCTTGAGAAGGTGCTGACGGGACGGGGAGGACGCAGCCCCCAGCCTCCCTAGGGCATATTTGTATTTGTTGTCCTGCGTTGCTTCCCAGGGGTGGGGAAAGAACCCTCAAAAAAAGGGAATATAAGTCCAAGCCATCCCAGCAGGGTGGGATGCAGCGGGGGGGGGGCCCTGGGCAGCCGGGAGCGGGGCTCTCGGTGCTGCCCGAGCGAGCTCCCAGCTCGATCAAGGGGAAAGAAAAATAAAATAAAATAAAAAAACAATAAAAAACCCTCACTGCGCTTTACTTCCCCCATCAATAACATTTTAATTTTCCGACCTGACAAGCCAAGATCTG